ATTTGGCTTATGTGGCATCTCAATTAAATTTTGTATGAAATTAATTTGTGTAGAGACAGTGTATTTATTTTATTTTAATAATGAACTAAAATAAAATATTTACACTTAAAGTATAAAAGGGTCGTGGTCCCCAGTTCAAGAGGTTAAGTTCTCATTTCCCATCTTGAGTGAAAAAAAGAAGTCTCTCGCTCTCATGGACAGTGGCGGATCCAAAAAATTTATCAAGGGGGGGCCTAAATTAATTTAGTTAAATTTTCCCTCAACTTTTTTCATCCGGGCTTGGGACCGGCACAGGCAGTTTTAAAAAATTTTTATTAATAATTATTCAAAAAACATATAATATTAAATATAAGAGAGCAATCAACTTACAATTTATAACGTCTACTCTTCATATTCTGAAAGAGTTCAATGATTACTTCATTATCAATAGAATCCAAAATTTCTTTTTCAATATAAGCAAGTAATAAATCATTCATTCATTGATCGCCAATCCGATTTCGCAGTCGATTTTTTATAATATTCATGGCAGAAAATGCTTTTTCAACACCTGCTGTAGCAACGGGTAATACCAATGCCAATTCCAATAGTTTAAAAACAATAGGATAAAGTATATCCTTCTTGTTTTGAATCATTTTCTCAGCAAGACTTCCAATATCTTTTAATGAGGTGAACTGATCATCATATCGCATATCCATGATATAAGTATCTAATTGATTTTCAAGAACTGCCTGATCAAGAAGACTAAAATCAGCTGGATAAAACTGTGTCATTCGAATCAACTTGTCTTTATTGAATGCATGAAATTTGTTATTAGGATTCAAACATGTCATGCACAAAAGCAGTTCGGTATTTACTTCTGTAAACCGATTGTTCAACTCCTGAAGCTGCATATCAAGTACTGTGTAAAAAATTTCAACCCGGAAATGATATAAATTTGTCATATCTTGAGCTCTGCGTCGAGGACGACCACGAGCAACCCATTTATCATCCATATGTGGAACACTTATTTTATGCTGCTCGCAAAATGAAGTTACACTGTTGATAAAGTCAACCCACTTGTTATCTCTCATATCCTGCAATCTCAGTTTACAAATTCGCACCAAAGACATAGCATTTACAATATCTTGTTCTCCTCGTTGTAATGCTTGAGATAGTTCATTAGTGATACCAAGTACATCTTTCATTAGATGTAGACAAAAAGAGAATTCAAATGTATGTAATGATTCTAATAATGCATAGGCTTCACCTTTTTGTTCTGAGCTTGCACCATCCTCCAAAATAATTTCAAGAACATCAATCACTGTAGAGAACATTGTGATTAACCTTATTATTGATTCATAATGTGTACCCCACCGTGTTTCACCTGCACGCCTAAGGGTTATTTCTTGATTTAAGCCTCGCCCTGTTAACAATTTTCCACTTTGTAATGCATTTAATGCCTTCTCGCGTTGTAGTTCTCTTACCTGATCACGCCTCTTACAAGAAACACCAACAATATTCATCACATTCGAAATTATGGTAAAAAGCAAAGCAATCTGAACATGACCTTTTGCAACTGCTACCAATGC